TACATGTTTATAGAGGGGCAACTGATATATCGGATCATTATTTAGTTGTAGCTACAGTTAGAGTAAGAGGTAGATGGGAAAAGAGGAAGGTGGCAACAAGTAAGAGGGAGGTGAAAGTGTATAAGCTAAGGGAGGAGGAAGTTCGGGTGAGATATAAGCGACTATTGGCAGAAAGGTGGGCTAGTGCAAAGATGAGTAGTGGGGGGGTTGAAGAGGGTTGGAATAGTTTTAAAAATGCAGTACGTATTAGAATGTGGGGCAGAAGTTTGTGGTTATAGGAGGGTGGGGGCAGGAGGAAAGAGGAGTGATTGGTGGAATGATGAAGTAAAGGGTGTGATAAAAGAGAAAAAGGTAGCTTATGAGAGGTTTTTACAAAGCAGAAGTGTTATAAGAAGAGCAGAGTATATGGAGAGTAAAAGAAAGGTAAAGAGAGTGGTGAGAGAGTGCAAAAGGAGAGCAGATGATAGAGTGGGAGAGGCACTGTCAAGAAATTTTAATGAAAATAAGAAAAAATTTTGGAGTGAGTTAAACAAGTTAAGAAAGCCTAGGGAAAGTATGGATTTGTCAGTTAAAAACAGAGTAGGGGAGTTAGTAGATGGGGAGATGGAGGTATTAGGTAGATGGCGAGAATATTTTGAGGAACTTTTAAATGTTAAGGAAGAAAGAGAGGCAGTAATTTCATGCACTGGTCAGGGAGGTATACCATCTTTTAGGAGTGAAGAAGAGCAGAATGTAAGAATGTAAGTGTGGGGGAGGTACGTGAGGCAATACGTAGAATGAAAGGGGGTAAAGCAGCTGTAACTGATGGGATCATGACAGAAATGTTAAAAGCAGGGGGGGATATAGTGTTGGATTGGTTGGTACTTTTGTTTAATAAATGTATGAAAGAGGGGAAGGTACCTAGGGATTGGAGGAGAGCATGTATAGTCCCTTTATATAAAGGGAAAGGGGACAGAAGAGACTGTAAAAGTTATAGAGGAATAAGTTTACTGAGTATACCAGGAAAAGTGTACGGTAGGGTTATAATTGAAAGAATTAGAGGTAAGACAGAATGTAGGATTGCGGATGAGCAAGGAGGTTTCAGAGTGGGTAGGGGATGTGTAGATCAAGTGTTTACATTGAAGCATATATGTGAACAGTATTTAGATAAAGGTAGGGAAGTTTTTATTGCATTTATGGATTTAGAAAAGGCATATGATAGAGTGGATAGAGGAGCAATGTGGCAGATGTTGCAAGTATATGGAATAGGTGGTAAGTTATTAAATGCTGTAAAGAGTTTTTATGAGGATAGTGAGGCTCAGGTTAGGGTGTGTAGAAGAGAGGGAGACTACTTCCTGGTAAAAGTAGGTCTTAGACAGGGATGTGTAGTGTCACCATGGTTGTTTAATATATTTATAGATGGGGTTGTAAAGGAAGTAAATGCTAGGGTGTTCGGGAGAGGGGTGGGATTAAATTTTGGGGAATCAAATTCAAAATGGGAATTGACACAGTTACTTTTTACTGATGATACTGTGCTTATGGGAGATTCTAAAGAAAAATTGCAAAGGTTAGTGGATGAGTTTGGGAATGTGTGTAAAGGTAGAAAGTTGAAAGTGAACATAGAAAAGAGTAAGGTAATGAGGGTATCAAATGATTTAGATAAAGAAAAATTGGATATCAGATTGGGGAGGAGTATGGAAGAAGTGAATGTTTTCAGATATGTACTTGGGAGTTGATGTGTCGGCGGATGGATTTATGAAGGATGAGGTTAATCATAGAATTGATGAGGGAAAAAAGGTGAGTGGTGCGTTGAGGTATATGTGGAGTCAAAAAACGTTATCTATGGAGACAAAGAAGGGAATGTATGAAAGTATAGTAGTACCAACACTCTTATATGGGTGTGAAGCTTGGGTGGTAAATGCAGCAGCGAGGAGACGGTTGGAGGCAGTGGAGATGTCCTGTCTAAGGGCAATGTGTGGTGTAAATATTATGCATAAAATTCGGAGTGTGGAAATTAGGAAAAGGTGTGTAGTTAATAAAAGTATTAGTCAGAGGGCAGAAGAGGGGTTGTTGAGGTGGTTTGGTCATTTAGAGAGAATGGAACAAAGTAGAATCACATGGAAAGCATATAAATCTATAGGGGAAGGAAGGAGGGGTAGGGGTCGTCCTCGAAAGGGTTGGAGAGAGGGGGTAAAGTAGGTTTTGTGGGCAAGGGGCTTGGACTTCCAGCAAGCATGCGTGAGCATGTTAGACAGGAGTAAATGGAGACGAATGGTACTTGGGACCTGACGATCTTTTGGAGTGTGAGCAGGGTAATATACAGTGGACCCCCGGTTAACGAACTTTTTTCATTCCAGTAGTATGTTCAGGTGCCAGTACTGACCGAATTTTTTCCCATAAGGAATATTGTGAAGTAGATTAGTCCATTTCAGACCCCCAAACATACACGTACAAACGCACTTACATAAATACACTTACATAATTGGTCGCATTTGGAGGTGATCGTTAAGCGGGGGTCCACTGTATAGTGAAGGGATTCAGGGAAACCAGTTATTTTCATATAGTCGGACTTGAGTCCTGGAAATGGGAAGTACAATGCCTGCACTTTAAAGGAGGGGTTTGGGATATTGGCAGTTTGGAGGGATATGTTGTATATCTTTATATGTGTATGCTTCTAAACTGTTGTATTCTGAGCACCTCTGCAAAAACTGTGATAATGTGTGAGTGTGGTGAAAGTGTTGAATGATGATGAAAGTATTTTCTTTTTGGAGATTTTCTTTCTTTTTTGGGTCACCCTGCCTCGGTGGGAGACGGCCGACTTGTTGAAAAAAAAAAAAAAAATTCTAGCGGCTTCAAATCAAGCGGGAGAAAGCTAGTAGGCCCACATGTGAGAGAATGGGTCTGTGTGGTCAGTGTGCACCACATAAAAAAAATCCTGCAGCACACAGTGCATAATGAGAAAAAAAAACTCTGATCGTTTTTTTGGACTAAAACGCCGACTTTGAGGTGTATTTTCGTATAGTATTTATCGTTGTATTTGCATTTCATGGTCTTAGGTGATAAAATGGAAAACAGATTACAGAAATAGAGATGATTTTCATTACTTTGATGATGAAAACGACCTTGAAACTGAGCTCAAAGTAGCGGAAATGTTCGATTTTTACCAATGTTCAGGAGTAAACAAATCATACCAGACGTCCAATACACGTCAACTGGGGAGTCTAATATTCTTTCTCTAGTGCACTGATATTATTTATACCATTTTTACAATAATGCAGTAGTCTGCATAACAGTAAATTTTGTATTTTTTTGTATGAATAAAAAATCTAAATCTTTCTTTCAACACATCGGCCGTATCCCACCGAGGCGGGGTGGCCCAAAAGGAAAAACCAAAGTTTCTCCTTTTACATTTAGTAGTATATACAGGAGAAGGGTTCCTAGCCCCTTGCTCCCAAAAAATCTAAATAGAAAGCAAAAATAATATAAGAGGGGCCTAGAGATGTGACTAATGAACAGAGGATATGTTATTTTAGTGCCAAGAATGTCTACCTTGTTTACTCTGGACCCTATTTTGAAATTGGCATCTTTTTTAATTTGTGTGAAATTGGCCAAATTGCCAATTTCTGACCACTATATTGGGTTACCTGGAGGTTATTCCGGGTAGTTCAAATTGGAAAATGGGTGGTTTCTTGTACTCAGCTGATAGATAAAATGGAGTTCTAAAGAAATAGCTATGAGTTTGGTCAACTGGAACAACGGAATTGGCTGAAAACAGGGCTCAAAGTCGGTGAAATCGCTGATACGCATATGTCGCCGAGACCGCTAACTTCGCGGGAGCGTAATTCCGTGAGTTTTCGACCAAATTTCAAACTTTTGGTGTCATTACCATCGGGAAAAGATTCTCTATCATTTCATAAGAAAATTTTTTTTTTTTTTTTTTTTTCAAAAATTTATCGACATAGAATGACAGTTTCAGAAAGGGGCTTGCGACAGTCAAAGGGTTAAGTGAGTACAAACGGTACAATGCAAGGACACAGAAGATGTGTATAGAAAGTAAAGTGAAATGCCTGAAAGGTAGGGGATTCTTGAAGGTGGTAAGCATTAGTGTTGGTGATAATAGTAGTCCTAGGAAAGGTTGGAGGGAGGTGGTAAAGGAAATATTACATGCCAGGTGCTTAGACATGCACCAAGTATGTGTGAGTGTGTTAGAAGTGAATGGAAGCAAGTAGTTTTTATGACTTGACATGCTGTTGTGGTGTGAGCAAGGTAACATTTATGAAGGGATTCAGGGAAACAGGTTAGGTGTACTTGAATTCTAGAGGTGGGAACTACAGTGCCTGCACTCTGAAGGAGGAGTGGGGATATATGCAGTTTTGAGGAGCATTTGAATTGTGGTATCGGCATGTCTCTAGCAAGACAGTGAGGGAGTGAATAATGGTGGAAGTGTTAATTTTTCGGGTCACCCTACCTCACTGGGAGATGGCCACTGTGTTAAAATAAAAAATTCTCTTTGAATGTATGCAATGATTATAGCTGCTGATCAGAATTAATAAGTAATTAATTAATTCAAAAGTGCCAGTTTCATAAATGCAGAACACTGTTAGGACCTATTGTATTACAATGTTCTCCATTTCATATGGTGACTTTTTTGGGGGTTTAAATCCACAATATCAAGTAAGTCCTCTTTTGTGAATGCATTCTGGAACTCCATGTTTAATATATAAAAAATTTTTGCCTCTGATTTTATGATATTTTCTTCATCCTTAATTCTTTGTATTGTGTCTTTCACACTTTTTTTTTTAAACCTGAACCTGGTTCTTCCTTGCTCTTGTGTACTATTCAATTTTCAGTTTCTTTCCTCTTTTCTTCTTACCTTTGGATGTGTATAGTTGTTAGTGTATACAAAATGGGATAATACTGTTGGTTCAATTTTACAATTTTTGTCCTTATTGCGTTTAATAATTTTTTCCTTTATTTAATTATTCACCATTTTGCATTAACATTCGTATTATTATTAACAGGAATGCCATATGGCACAGTGAATCTGAGAGATGGTGTGCCAGAGGGTGAGACACCTATCACCTGTACAGCTGGTGTAGGCACATATATTATAGAATTTGGCACACTTTCCAGACTTACGGGTGATCCAGTGTATGAGGAGGTAAGGAAATTAAGTGCATTTGAAATACACAATACGTACATATTGGTAATACATAATATTTTATCTTAAATATTTCATTCATAATAAGTGTGCTATAGTTTTAATAAGGCATTAATTGATATGAGGTTGTTCGTGTAGTGAATATTTGAAGATGGCAAATGTATACTGCAAGCATTGAGCAGTGTGTCCATACAACGTGCTTCAATGAGAGCTTTTTTTAATGTACAATACTAATTTTTTTTTTTTAATCATACTGGCAGTCTCCTACCAAGGTAGGGTGACTTGAAAAACAGGAAACACATTCACCATCATTCATTCAATTGCTGTTTTGCTAGAAGAGTGTTGGCATCACAGTTCATAAGACCCTTTGAACTGCAACACCTTCACCCTTCCTTTAGAGTGCAGGCACTGTACTTCCCACCTCCAGGACTCAAGTCTGACAAACCTATTTCCATAAATTCCTTCATAAATGTTACATTGCTCACACTCCAACAGCACATCAAGCCATAAAAGCCTGTTTCAGCTCGCTCTTATCTAACATGCCCACACAAGCCTGTTGGATTTTAAGCCCCTAGCAGTCAAAACCTCACTTTCTCCCTCTCATACCCTGGGATGACCCTTTACCCTTCTTTCATTCCACTCCAAATTTATTTACCCTCTTAGTCATCCTGTTCTGCTCCATCCTCTCTAAATACCCAGACCACCTCAACAACCCTTTCTCCTTTTGGTAACCCCACACCATCTTCTAATCTCCATTCACGGAATTCTCTACATAAAACACATTTCTCTTAAACATGATGTCTCCACTTCATCCAGCCTCCTTTATACAGCAAAATTTAAAATCTATGCCTTATACCCATCTGAAAGTGTGGATACCAGTATACTCTAGTACATTCCTATTTTTGTAACCATAAATGTACTTCTTTCCACAGATGCCTCAACATACCACGTGTCTCCCCCTCCCCCCCTCGTCTTTTATGTATCTTTCATAGTCCCTTCTGCCAACACGTCCACTTCCAAGTATCTGAATGCATTCACTTCCTCCATAGTCTCTCCCTCCAGTCTGATATCCAACCTTTCAATGCCTATACGTTTTGTTGCTCTCATCACTTTGTTCTTTTCTGTGTTCCCTTTTAATTTTATTCTTTTGCATACCCTCCAAAATTCCTTTACCAATCATTGCAACTCTTCCCAATACCCTAGCATTCATTTCTTTTGAAACCCTAAAATAATAAAAATGGAACAATACCATGACTGGCACAGTATACACAGAACCTAGACATAGCAGATTGAATCTTATGAGAACATTTGGGTTTGACTTGGATCATTACCTAGTCACACAGAGAAACGTGAAGGAAGCTAAAATATATACGAGAGGGGGTGGGGTTGGGAGTGGTAAAACTGGAGGAGGGAGTAGTGTTATTGTAGTAGTGGTAGTAGTAATAGTAGTAATGTAGCAGTGATAGAGGTGACAATAAAAAGGTAGTAGTAGTGAAAAAAGAGGCAGAGAGTGGAGTATTAGTGAAGAAATAGTAGCAGTAATAGTGGAGATAGTATATAGGACCAAGAGAACTGACAAGCACTGCAAGAGAGCTAATGGCCCGCAGGGTTAGGACAAAATCCCAGTGGGACAATACATCCCCTTTCCCCATTGTGTAGAATCTACTACTACCTTCTTATTGCCAATTCTATCAGCAGCATGGTCATCAGAAGTAATTTCTCCATGAAATTTAATGTCATAAAGCTGATGTGGCATTTTGAAATTGAAACCACCCTGCTCTGAATGAACACTTTTTTTTTTTTTTGCAGGCTTTCCTTCCTACTCACATACTTTATTATAGTATGATAAGGAGGGGTGTTAATATGTTGCAGTTTTTTCTTTTAACTGTAGTGTAGGCATGCCTCTGGCAAGACAGCGATGGAGTGAATGATGATAAAAGCGTTTCTTCTTTCTCCCATATATTATAAGGGAACGAAGTAGGACACCTTTCTTGTTTTTCTGTTTTGTCCAATCACTCACTAATTTTTCCATTTTATTTAACTGTATTGACCTCTTGAACATTCTTTTCAACATGTTAGTATCAGGGCTACTCAAAGCATATGCTCTTATTTTCACCTCATTGTCTCAAATCGAACAAAGTGTCACATCTCTAACACCAAATACACAGGCCACCTCACCCTCATGAGCACCGCCTTTCAGCATGTCTATCACTTCTGTTTTCTACAAAATAGGTGTGTTTTCATACTCAGGCTTTTTCTTTGCTGCTCCAGCATGACTGGTAGACCTTTTCAGTGTTATTTTAATACCTTAAATGATATGGAGTGATGAAAATATCCAAAATATGGAGAGAGTGAGTTTGTGTTTGTTTGTGCATGCACATGAGTGTGTGTGTGAGAGGGTGAGAGTTAGTGAGTTGTCTATAAATTGGTCACATGGGTGGGCATGAACAGAAGGAGTGAAGCTAGGCCTCCCTAAAACAATGAAAATTCCCATAGCATGGAAGGAAATTTTCTGAGGGGAAACCAACTTGATAAAAAAATTTGCTTGCTTTATGCACAAAGCAGGACTGTGTACCTATATTTAATTTTTTTTTTTTCAACAAGTCGGCCGTCTTCCACCGAGGTAGGGTGACCCAAAAAGAAAGAAAATCCCCAAAAAGAAAATACCTTCATCATCATTCAGCACTTTCACCTCACTCATACATATCACTTACGTACGATAATTTAGAAGTCCCTCCAAACTGTCAATACCCCAGACCTCTCCTTTAAAGTGCAGGTATTGTACTTCCCATTTCCAGGACTCAAGTCTGGTTAAATCTATAATAACTGGTTTCCCACCCAGCGAGGTACAACCATCTTGCCGAGTGAGTGTGAAACGGAAACCTGTGATTGTTTTACATGATGTTTGGATTGCTGGTGTCTTTTTATGTTTCATAAACACACAGGATAACAGGTATGTCTTGCTACTTCTACTTACATTTAGGTCACACTACACATGCATGTACATGCATACATAGTGGAACCTCAGTTTTCGTTTGCCTTGGTTTTCGTTGAATTCGGTTTTCAACGACTTTTTTCGTCAAAATTTTGTCCCAGTTTTCGTTCATCACCTCAGTTTTTGTTGGTCTCCCATACTGAACGTGTCTGCCTGCTCGTGCCCACACAAAGCATCCCACACGTTCTGAGTCAGTCTAGCTTTGTTTCTCGTCGAGTGAGCATTACCCTGCTCGTTCATCCAAAACATTTCGTAATAATCCATTGTTTTTTGTGCTTGTTTATTGAATGTGACTGCTAAATAAGCCACCATGGAGCTTTGGGGAAGTCCATGGGGTTGGATGTGAGTGGCCAGGATTTGGAAGAGTTGGTGGATGACCACAGGGAAGAGCTAACCACTGAAGAGCTGCAACATCTTCAACTGGAACAGAACAGATTGCAACTGAGGAAATTGCTTCAGAGGAGGAGGAAGAGGGAGGGGAGAATGTGCCTTCTTCAGTGATTAAGGACACATGTGCAAAGTGGAGTGAGTTGAAAAGTTTTATGGAGAAATATCACCCTAACAAAGCTGTTGCAAGCCGTGTCTGCAACATGTTCAGTGACAGTGCCTTGTCCCATTTTAGGCAAATCTTGGAGATGCCAGAAACAGACCTCTCTGGACAGATTTTTTGTGTGACAAGGGTCCAGTGCCAGTAAAAGACAAAGAAGGGAAGTAACCCCGGATAGGGACTTGATACCTGAAAGTCCTTATGGAGGGAGATTTCTCTTCCAACCAATAACCTCTTCTCCTCCGTCTCCCCTCCTCGTGTCTTCCATACACCAACAACAAGAGTCTTCAATAAAGGTAAAAGTGATATTAAATGTTCATTTATACATTTCATTAGTCCTTTATATTTATTTCTAATTGTTTTCTGTATGTAAAACTATAGTTATTCTCTATAAAATGTATTTTTTGTTAATACTTTTGGGTGTCTGGAATGGATTAATTGGATTTACATTATTTCTTATGAAAGATATTGCTTCATTTTTCGTCAAATTCGGTTTTCGTCAGACATTCTGGAATGAATTATGACAAAAACCAAGGTTCCACTGTATATACATGCCCATCTGGGTGTGGGTGGGTGCGAGTTGGACCTGACTAGCTTGTGCTGCTGGGTCTGGTGCCGTGCTCCTTCCTTGAGTGGAGGTGACCAGACTCGGTGGGTCATTGGGCTAATCTGGGGAGGGGGGACATGGACCTGCTCTGCATGGGTCAGTAGGCCTGTTGCAGTATTCCTTCTTTCTTATGTTCTTATGTTGTGGGTGTGTTTCTTTATTTCCACTTATCTCCATGGGAAAGTGGAAAAGAATTCTTCCTCCATAAGCCATGCATGTCTTAAGAGGCAGCTAAAGTGCTGGGAGCAAGGGGCACTTAACTCCTTCTTCTGTATACATTACTAAAGTTAAAAAGAGAAGCTTTTTTTCTTTTTGGGTCACCCTGCTTCGGTAGGATATGGCCAGTTTGTTAAAAGGAGCTGTTTCCCACCAAGGCAGGGTGACCTGAAAAAGAAGAAACACTTTCATTATCATTCACTCCATCACTCTTGCCAGAGGAATGCCTTCACTACAGTTAAAAAAACTGCATCATATCAACACCCCCTCCTCCAGTACAGATACTGTACTTCCCACCTCTACAACTCAAGTCCGGCTAACTGGTTTCCCTGAATCCCTTCATAAATGAGAAGTCTTACTGTACTCTAAATATTAATACCTAAGAACATATTCATTGGCTCTAATAACTGTAACCTGAGATTAATCTTGAATACATTTTTTTTTTGTGATTTGATGTTTTGATTTTTAGGTGGCTATGCGTGCTCTGCATGGTATTTGGGATCACCGTTCTTCAATTAACCTTGTTGGCAATCACATTGATGTTTTAACAGGAAGATGGGCAGCTCAGGATTCTGGAATAGGTAGGTTACAGAACTGTACTATTTACTGAAAAAAATGTAATCAAAAGTATTATCCCCCTTAACCCTTTCAGGGTCCAAGGCCCAAATCTGGAGTCACGCACCAGTGTCCAAGAATTTAAAAAAAAAAAATTTGTTATTTTTTCTTATGAAATCGTAGAGAATCTTTTTGTGAAGGTAATAAAACAAAAAGTACGAAATTTGGTGGAAAATTGACGAAATTATGCTCTCGCGAATTTTGATGTGTCAGCGATATTTACGAATCGGCAATTTTGCCGACTTTGACTCCCATTTTAGGCCAATTACATTATTCCAATCAACCAAATTCTTAGCTATTTCACTAGTATTACTTCTATTCTATCGATTGAGCACAAGAAATTGCCAAGTCAACTGTTTCAACTACAAAATAAAGTGATCGGAAATTGTTAATTTGGCCAATTTAACACAAAGTTCAAAATATTCCAATTTCAAAATAGGGTTCAGAATGAACAATGTAGGCATTCCTGGCACTAAACTAACATTTCCTCTGTTCATTAGTTATGTTTTGAGGCTTTACAAATAAATTCTATTTTGATTTTTTATTCACATAATGAATTTTTATTCACACCAAAAAATAGAAGATTTACTGTTATGGAATACTGTAATAATTGTATAAATATCATCACCATATTTGTGAATGTATATTAGACCCACCAGCTGATGTGTATTAGACGTGTGAGGTCGTTTGTTTACTCTTGAATATCGGCAAAAATTTAACATTTCTGCTACTTTGAGCTCAGTTTCAAGCCATTTCCAGTGCTAAAACCAATCAAAATCATCTCTATTTCTGTAATATGTGTTCCATTCTATCAAATGAGACCAAGAAATCGCAAATACAACTATAAAAAACATACGAAAAAACACTGCAAAGTTGCTGTTTTAATCGAAAAATCATGAATTCATTTTTTTCTCTCATTATACACAGTGTGCTGCAGGATCTGTTTTATGTGGTGCACACATACCACATAGATGTATTCTCTCATATCTAGGCCCAAATGTACCACTCACAGTTTATCAGAGTGAGGTGAGCTCATGGCGTAGATCTACGGTTTGGACCCTGAACGTAAAGCCCTAGATCTACGGGACGGACCCTGAAAGGGTTAAAACTAGCTTCCTCACACAGGACTAATTTTATTCTAGCACATCTGGTGATCAGTGCCTTCTTACAAGGAAAGTGCCTTGATGCTGTTGAAGAACTCTTAATTCAAGGAATTGGCACTAACCTTCCCTTCTTTGGCTTAACTTTACAACACCTCCCATTCTTCTGGTGTTGTACGATGCTAACTGCTTTAGTGTTTCATAAATATGTATAGTAATAATAATTAGAATGTTGTGGACCCATCCTGAGTTTTTTCTTTCAGGGTACTTTGAAGTTTTGGGAATAAATTAATGTGACAAAATTTCAAGTCCATTCACTAAGGTGCGTGATTTGATATACAGCCTCTCCTCACTTTGCGATGTACTCGTTTACCGATGCCTTGGACTTACAATAGGCTCTCTGACCAGTATTCATACCTAAATAATGTATATTAGAACTGATTTCCTTCATTCTGTTTATTTCAATATACAGTACACTGCTGTATAAACATTTACAAATACAGTGGACCCCCGCCGTTTGGCGGCCGCGACTTTCGTGAAATCTGACTTTCGGCAAGTTTTTTTGGCAAAATTTAGCTTCGTGGTTCGTGATTGGACTCGTGATTCGGCTACCTTCTGGTGCACCTCTGCCATCTGTGCGCACACAAAGCCAGTCTCTGGCACTATTCACACTCAGTGTGCCATTGTTTACCAGCATGTGACCATCACTCCAGGGGTTCATGCAACACATTTCATAATAATTCATTGTTTTTTTGTGCTTGCAACTGCTAAATGAGCCACCATGGGCCCAAATAAAGTTCCTACTGCCAGCCCTTTGGTAAAGGTGAGAAACACAATAGAATTCAAGAAAAAACTCATAGCAAAGTACTAAAGTAGAGGAGGAAGAGAGAGGGGAGAATGTGCCTTCTGCAGTGATTCAGTATCATACAATATATATGATACATATTGTATGATGCTAGTATCATACAATATGTATGATACTAAAGCAGCAATTATTGATAAAGGCTATAGCTCCAGCCAGCAATAAAGTGTAGAATTAACAGTGTAGCAAGTAAGTTAAGTGAGTAAGCGATAGAAAAACAACATGAGAGTAACTCTCCAATGTTGTTGGATGTGTATAGGACCGCTGAACATACACCGCCCTGCTATCTTCCACCACCCTAAACCTCTTCCAACATCTCCTTCATCAGACTAACTAATTAAACTAACATCTCCAAGGTAAGTGTAAATATAAAAGTGTAAGTATAAAAGTAAATATAAGTGTAAATATAAAAGGACACCAATGGAAATATGTCACTCTTGAATTTTTTGGGTTATCCTGGGTACTTTAAACATATGCTGCTATGTATGATAATCAATGTATGAACTGTATCTGTGTATACCTGAATAAACTTACTTCTTTATAAATTAAAATGTAAATATTTTTATTTTATTTTTATTAACACACTGGCCGATTCCCACCAAGGCAGGGTGGCCCGAAAAAGAAAAACTTTCACCATCATTCACTCCATCACTGTCTTGCCAGAAGGGTGCTATACACTACAGTTTTTAAACTGCAAGATTAACACCCCTCCTTCAGAGTGCAGGCACTGTACTTCCCATCTCCAGGACTCTAAGTCCGGCCTGCCGATTTCTTATTTATAAATTAAAATGTAAATATTTGTTATTTATAAATTACATACAGTGTTTAAGTGTCCTTTTTTAAGTGTCCATTTAACTTTGTTTACCATTACTTAGTTTTTATTTTCTCCTTTATTTTAGCTTTATATAACTACCTTAGTTCATATATTCGCAATTGTTATAATAATCAAGGTGCTATTCTCAGGTGCTAAAGTGTAATAAGTTCACTATTTTTGCCATTATATTCCCAAGCTCATTTATTTGATTACCACTTTATTTGTTCACCACAACTTATATTAGTCCCTTTTATATTGTCTCTTTATTTTAACTTCAAAGAACTACCTTTAAAGAACTACCTACTATTATATTCCCAAGCTCTTTTATTTGATCATCACTTTATTTGTCCACCACAAATTATTTTAGTCTCTTTTATATTGTCTCCCTTATTTTAGCTTTAAAGAACTAGCTTAGCTCACATTTTTACATTTGTTAAAATAATTCAGGTGTTATTTTTTAGCTTTAGAATATTTACTTTGTCCTATACTTTATTCTTACTATAGATTCACTCTGAATCTTATGATTACAAGCATTGATCCTGATAGCAACCTCTTATTGAATGACTTAAATGAATCAAACAGTAACTGTAATTACTACAGTCTTCAAGCTGGCACTGGACAAGCACCTAAAGTCGGTTCCTGACCAGCCGGGCTGTGGCTCGTACGTTGGTTTGCGTGCAGCCAGCAGTAACAGCCTGGTTGATAAGGCTCTGATCCACCAGGAGGCCTGGTCACAGACCGGGCCGCGGGGGCGTTGACCCCCGGAACTCTCTCCAGATAAACTACACAGCAGAACAATCAAAGGCATTCCTCAGAGCCAACAACAACATAACTGTCTTTAACTAGTAGGTTGGTAGACAGCAACCACCCAGGGAAGTACTACCATCCTGCCAGATGACTGTGAAACAGAAACCTGTAACTGTTTTGCATGATGGTAGGATTGCTGGTTTCTTTTTCTGTCTCATAAACACGCTAGATAACAGGGATATCTTGCTACTCCTACTTACACTTTGGTCACACTTCACAGACACGCACATGCATATATATATACATACATCTAGGTTTTTCTCCTTTTTCTAAATAGCTCTTGTTCTTCTTTATTTCTTCTATTGTCCATGGGGAAGTGGAAAAGAATCTTTCCTCCGTAAGCCATGCATGTCGTATGAGGCGACTAAAATGCCGGGAGCAATGGGCTAGTAACCCCTTCTCCTGTAGACATTTACTAAAAAAGAGAAGAAGAAAAACTTTATAAAACTGGGATGCTTGAATGTGCGTGGATGTAGTGCGGATGACAAGAAACAGATGATTGCTGATGTTATGAATGAAAAGTTGGATGTCCTGGCCCTAAGCGAAACAAAGCTGAAGGGGGTAGGGGAGTTTCGGTGGGGGGAAATAAATGGGATTAAATCTGGAGTATCTGAGAGAGTTAGAGCAAAGGAAAGGGTAGCAGTAATGTTGAAGGATCAGTTATGGAAGGAGAAAAGAGAATATGAATGTGTAAATTCAAAAATTATGTGGATTAAAGTAACGGTTGGATGCGAAAAGTCGGTCATAATAAGCATGTATGCACCTGGAGAAGAGAGGAATGTAGAGGAGAGAGAGATTTTGGGAGATGTTAAGTGAATGTATAGGAGCCGTTGAACCAAGTGAGAGAGTAATTGTGGTAGGGGACCTGAATGCTAAAGTAGGAGAAACTTTTAGAGAGGGTGTGGTAGGTAAGTTTGGGGTGCCAGGTGTAAATGATAATGGGAGCCCTTTGATTGAACTTTGTATAGAAAGGGGTTTAGTTATAGGTAATACATATTTTAAGAAAAAGAGGATAAATAAGTATACAAGATATGATGTAGGGCGAATTGACAGTAGTTTGTTGGATTATGTATTGGTAGATAAAAGACTGTTGAGTAGACTTCAGGATGTACATGTTTATAGAGGGGCCACAGATATATCAGATCACTTTCTAGTTGTAGCTACACTGAGAGTAAAAGGTAGATGGGATACAAGGAGAATAGAAGCATCAGGGAAGAGAGAGGTGAAGGTTTATAAACTAGAAGAGGAGGCAGTTAGGGTAAGATATAAACAGCTATTGGAGGATAGATGGGCTAATGAGAGCATAGGCAATGGGGTCGAAGAGGCATGGGGTAGTTTTAAAAATGTAGTGTTAGAGTGTTCAGCAGAAGTTTGTGGTTACAG